CACTGTGTCCAGGGGACAAAGACTGATGGCAAACATCACACAACATCATGTAACTTCCAGCATAGACTGGGCTCAAAGCATTGCCGGGTATTTATTTATTTATTTATTTATTTATTTATTTATTTATTTACTTTATTTATATACTGCTTTTCTCAGCCCTCAGGTGACTCAAAGCGGTACTTTCACCCCCAACATGGGAGGCTTCCCATGTTGAGCTGGCTTCAATGGAGCCAGCACAGGGCCTCTCCATGAGGGCAATACTTTCCCCATGTGATGAAGAAAGCGTTACAGAGAGAGAACAGTGTGTGGGGTAACAAATTTGCTTTGATATTCCCTCTTTCTTTGTGGAAGCCCGGTGAAGCAGGACACTTTGCCACGGCTTTCTAATGAGGTGGATAGTTTTACTGTAATATTCCCCACTACAGGGGATCAGAAAAGTGTCTGCCTATGTCCCTGTAGCCAGACTTAGAATGAATACATCATTGGCTGAGATCTCCAAAGGGGATTGCAGGAGAAGATGTCATGAATTTACTGCAGCAAAACCATGTGGATACATCACAGCAAAATCATGAACCCTGGGGATGATGCCTGCTAAGTTCCACCTGCAGAATTCTTACAATACATTGGCCATTGTATGTTGCTGGCTGCTGAATGTCAACAGCGTAGCTTTTCTCCTATATTGTATGTCACCCATGACCCTGTCAAGGAACAAGCCTGCCACCACTGGAGACAAAAAAACTGGTCTCAGCAGATTATCAGTGCTTAGTATTCTTAAGTTTTTCACATCTCTTTAAGAGTTGCCTAGTTTGGGGACTAAAATGCACAAGAGGAAGTAGTATGTTTTCATTTATTTTCTTCCATCTTTTATTTATAAAATGGCTAGAGCCTTTTGTAAAGAGAAAATGAGGGCATCCAGGTATAGCCAACAATTGACTAGCAGTCAGTCTCTGCAGTTACAGATGCATAACCCCCTCCCACCAGTGAGTATTTCTGACAGGGGCCCTGTTTCCAGTTGTCACAGCCTCCCTCACTGATGGGAGGTGGTTTAAAAATTATCCTCCTAGTATGTCAGGGCCCTTCTACACATGCTGAAAAACCTGGAAGAAACCGTGATAAAAGGAAGGGTAGCTAAATGGCATTTGGAGAAAATGCAGGAGGAATCGGGCTCACAGCTGAAAAGCTCATGTTTAAAAGGTGTGCTTAAAATCTGATTCTGCACAAAAAAATGGACATCTTCTCATGATTGAATTTCCCTGTACAAGATTTCCTTCCAGACTCCCAGTCTGGCCTTCTCTGTGTCACGTGCATGTTTTAAAAGCCCAAAACAGTTGATGGAGCTGTCACAAAATGGAGCCATAGACACACAGGTGCTTAAATGGAAGCAGAGTTGGAAAGCAATTAGGGTTAGAAGTCTCTGCAACCATTCCTTTGTTCTAATGTTTATAATATTAAACAGAGCTTGAATTCATAATTGGGTGAAGAGAGAAAAAATCTGCTTGTGTGTACCTTAGGATCTTCATGTGAGCACATATGAGGTCTAGCATGTCTCAGAGAAACTTTTTAAAAAGTCCACTGTGTGTCCTCTGTCTATTCATCTGTCCTGTTTTTGTCCCATCCCCGTCCCCCGTCCCCCATTTTGCAGACTTGTAAAATCAAAGGCAGGTGTGAGGGTAGCAGGGGAGAATTTCCTGGGACTGACAGGTCTGTGTATGGACTTGTTGTCAGGTCCTGGGTTTTTGTCCCACTTTTTTAACCTGCATTTTGATACTGTCTGGAAGCATCCTCAGTTAGCAGCTGAACAGATCTTCACCTTATTTGGCTGCAGGGAGTGTGCAGGCCAAGTGAATTAGCTTAGTTATGCATTTGTGACTAAGTGGCCAGTATAGAATATTGGTAATTTATATTTGTGAATCATATGCAAATCAGCTAGACTTTGGAGACTATTTTAAATAAACAAAGAGCTTTAAAATCTGTAATTCCAGTTGCAAGGGAAATTCTAGGTTTTTCTTTTTTATCTGAGGGTTTTTCCTCTTTTAATCAATTATAATAAAAGCTGGAGGAGTGTACTAGCACTCAAGCAATATTTGCAATTTTCCAAGCTCAGGGTCATTGAAACTTCATTTTAAGAACTGGTCTAAGAGTGTATGTTTGTTCTCTGACCTAAAGATTTGTGTGTGTGTGTGTGTGTGTTCATATCTGTTCCACAAACGCTCATAAAGGCTTCAAGACAGCTTAGGATAGAAAGAGTTAGCAGGCATCAGTCTTGGGGTATATCCTTGGTGTTCAAAAGACCTGGGCAAAGTTCAAACCAATAATATGACAGTTACTACAGAATTAGCAAAGTAGAATAAAGGGGCGAAACGGCTCTCACAGTCAGAAAGTTCTTCCTAATGTTCAGGTGGAATCTTGTTCACCTAGAGATCAAGGATCACATTTGGGAGAGGAAGTCCAATTAAGAAGATGTAGAGTAGAAACTTCTACGTTTTCACTCTGAAGTAAATTCAATGAGTTCAATCAGATTTACTGCATGGAAAATGGGCATATGATTGCAGCCGTATTTTCTCAGCAGTGCGCTAATCATAGAAGATAATTGTTAATTTACTCAGAGTCTTTTAGCAAACAAATCGATTCATTGGTTTAACTCAATATTCATGACACAAACAAATTACAAAATTTTGCTACTAGTAATTACATTTTGCTTTCAGTCTCTTCGTGCTTTCGAAACTCTCGGTGGCTTCAGACACATAAGGGAATATTTCTGTCTAACTAATTGATTTGATATTTAATAATTGTTAGTGAACAGCCAAGTTTTATTCATAAAAACATTGCTCATACACAACTTGAATAAAATCCCATTGGACAAGAACTGTTTTGCTTAAAACTTTGACATAATTCATGGTATCAATCTTATGTGAAGTTTATCAAAAAGGTGCAGATCCATGTATGCTGTTATTGATAAGTAAGTACCTCAGTTAAGTGTACTTAATTCACCCTTAATTTTTTCAAAGAGTTCAGGATGAATATGTAATCACATCACTGCCTTATAATTCTACAACATGATGTCGTACCAAAATACAAGGTAAAGTACACAGAAGAATTCATAATTTGGTTGCAATCTTTAGACCTCTCGCTCTGGGGAAAATCAAATTGATTTTCAATATTGACAGTTTAATTTAGGTCAATGCACCTATAACAGAGTAAATGGAGTGGGGGACTGTGGATTTTGTTTGCTTCATCCCAATATGACACAGCGTTCTCTTCCATATTCCTGGGTCTGCCTGTGAATAAGAATCTTCTGTAATTTTTAACCATGTACCATACTCTATTTTAATTGTTTGTTAGAACAATTTGTACTCCGAAAACAAGAAGAATTGCATAATCACCAGTGGAAAGAAACAATGCACTAATAGGCTTATTCTCCAGCAATGAAAAAGGTGCAGACAGAGAAATAGCATGTAAATATAAGTTGTGCCCTTTCCCTTGTACACGTGCATTGACATCTTAATAAATCAGGCACTCGGGGTTCATTCTGTATGTCAGTCCTTGAAGGGACTGTGATCAAAAGTCAAATCAACTAATGATCTTTTAATCAAAAGAAAGCCAGCTGAAATACTTTTGAAATTAAGGCTATATAATGCAACATTGTGCAAGGAATGAAAATAGAATGAGCCCATAATGTGAAGATAGAGGGATTACTGGGACAAAAGACTTGATCATGGGCTGACTTCATTACTCTCCCTATGCTGCTTTTCACAGTTGAGAGCATGATCAAAAGTGTATCAATTTATACAGTTTTTTAAAAAACAAAAACAAATGTGTTTTCAGGGAAACAGTACATCCACTGCATTTATTTCAGCTGGGAAAAACGTCTACTAAAAGTAATCTGAAGAGGCAAAAGCTTATGTACAGATGTCATGTCTTCTACCATTTTGCAGATGAAAACTGTAACATGTGTAGCCAAGCAACATCACAGTGCCTCCAAATAGCCACACTTGCCATCTCCTACCATTCTCATTGCAGCAGTCAGTGGATATAACATGGTTTGCTCATTGCTGGAGTAACATCTGCCACTACAAAAACCTTAGGGGACAAAAAGTATCAGCCCATGTCTCTGGACAGTCCAAACCTGGAGAAGACAAGATTACACCATTTTTTTCTGACAATTGGTCTCTGAAATCTAGATCCACTTTTGGACTTAGGACCTCATCACATTGAGATTCAATTTGCGGGCAACAGCAATGGGGGCAGGGTTCACCAGGCAGCATGGCAAATTGGCAGGCAGAGGGAAAATCACCACCCCACATCCTGCATCACCGCATTGCCCCCTTAGTCATCCCATGGGGGGAAGCACTGCTGCCCAACTTCCCCCAGCACTCACCCCATTCTTTCCTATGAAAATATGGGAAGCATCCCGTGTTTTCTGGGCATCATCCTATGACACTAACAGGATTCTGGAAGCATGGATCCCCACTAGAAGTAGCCTGTCATCTGATGGGCTCTGGCAGGCTCTATCCTTCCAGCATCCTGCAAGCATTCTAGGATACTAAAATTCTGTAATGTGATAAAGTCCTAATTTTACTTTTTGTGTGTCCGTATGTTTTAAAACTGGATTTTAAAATATTGTCTTAATTTGTATCAAAATAATTAGGTCTCTAGATTTTATCAGTTGTGCATTGCCTCAGAGGCTGAAGTATAATCTAGAAACATTTAAATAAATAAATTGGAGTGTTTAGCTTTTTATTAAACTTCTTTTTAAAGAACCTTTTGCAGTGTCCTCAAGATGCTTAAAGTACATTTTCTAGTCTTACAACTTTAACCTATGCTTGATTGATTTTATCAATCACCTTCTTACCTACCTATCAAACGAATCAAATATTATAAAATATAAAATTATTTTAAAACAGATTTGATACAATCTGTACATTTTTTCAAATTAAGAATGTTGATTTTTTAAAAAAGACAATGTTTTCAAACACACATATAGGAACATAGAAGAATACCGTATGCCATCTGTCATCTTCACTACCTGGCAACAGTTCTCTGGGGTTTGTCTTCCAAATCATCAGATGAAATCAGGTATGTTCAGGGTTGTGTTGTGGTACTATTCAGAGAGAAAGAGAGAGAAATATATACACATACATAAATGCATGGGTTTTCAGTCTTCTAGTTCCTCTTTCCTTAAAATACATTTAAAGCCTTTTAGACATTTTACCATCTAATTACTAAAGAAGCCTGACCATGGTTGGCTTCCATATTCATCAGATGATTCAAGGTTATGCAGTGATGCTATGCTTACATGTAAACAGAGAGTGCAGGGAGAGGTAGACAGCACAGACAAAGATATGTGCATACATGTACAAATGTGGTTTTGGACTTCTAATTTAATTTCCATCAAGTACATTTAAAATCTTGGAAACAAATTAGGAAAATAACAATTTAAAGTGCAGCTGTTTTATGTACATTCACATAGTCATACCTCTCCTCGGAGAATATTCAGATTCCATTGTCAATACCCTAATATCTTACATATTTTAGAAATCTCTTTCACCAAAGACATTCAATTGGGTTATAAGCATTTGTTCTGTAATCGTGTTGAGTTACTGATGGAGCAGCATGATGCAGCCAGCCATTGTTTAATATGTTTTATATGCCCTGCTAATTAACACACATTTTCTCACCAACTTTTTCAAAAAAATGATACATTGTAATAGTAAGCATTTTTTAAAACAGCCCTTTGTTTCCTTGCAGTAAGAGCAAAATCACAAATGTTTCATAAATCCCCAGGCATTTTGGAGTAATCTTCACATGTGGATCTCTGACAGGACTGTGTTTGGGAGTGCTAGGTTCTGTCCTCTGTCAAAGAGGCTGGAGCACTGTTCTTTCTCCAATGTGGTCTGCCATCTGCACTTTATCTGGCATTGTGGCTACACCCATGTAGCTCAGTTGTGCAAGGCTTACAATGGGATAGAAAGAAGAACCAACTTGGAAGGGAAAGCTGAAATAATGGTTTTATTTTATACTCTACATTCAATACTATGATCAGCAGGTATGTCTTTTTATTTTGGTAGAATGCTGTAGAGAGGATCTCTAGTGTGTTGGCTACAATGTGTATATATGCCACATACATGTAATAAGAAGCCTCTGAGTCTATGTGAAATAAACAATATCACTGAAATGTGGAAGCTGAAAAATGTTTGATGATGAAATGTGAATATCTGTAACTAATATTCCACCAAATATTCAAATATTCATCTTATCAACCTATACATCTCATTAAAATGGGTGTTAGTGTTATACATTTTTTAGTCTTGCACATATTTACATATCCTTACGTATACATGACAAAAACATGGGGAATGTATTCAAATATTCAAATATGATATGTATTTTCTTACATATCATATACTTTTAAAAATATAAATGAAAGGTTTTCTAGATAGATGTTTTGTCCTCATACATTTCATTATTACAATTTATGTATATGGCTGTATCTCTTATAAGGGGTTGGCTTAACTCCAGTTTGCTAGTAAAACTAAATTACTGTGTTGCGAAATGATGCATGTCTAAAAAGTACATGATTGCTTGGAAATATGATTGCTTGGAAAGCTCTGTTGTAAATTCTGCCTAAATGTATGAGTGACTAACATAGAATACAACGCATAGTAGAAAGAGCTTACTACATCAAGAAATAAAAGGCAATAGTAATACAGAATATATCTATAAGGAGCCCATGCAAATGATTAAGATCTTTAAAGAAATAACTACTTCTTCATGAAGCAATATTATGGCAACTTACATGTTGCCAAAAAAAGAGGAAGTGCATCACCAAAAAGATTTTAATAAAATTTGTCTATGCTAATTTATTTTAAAAGATGTACATTTTAGGAACTATTCATCAATACTCCACATTGGCTGTATCTCCTGACCTGACACCAGCGTATCGAAAGAATCAGGCTGACTGACAATGACATATCCTGTATACTCAAGTACATATCAAGATTCTTTGTCTGAAAATCAACACAAAAAACCTGGGGTGATTTATCCATGGGTCGGTTTGAGTACCTTAACCCTTTAAAAAAGGAATCATCACCTTATCTGAATAGAGTGGTTAAAAGCAAGATCTTAGTCTGTCCTGGGAGAACCTGAAGGAAGCATCAAGCCTCTCCGCTCTTTCCACCATGGCATTGCTTCTGCCCTTTCTGAATGGCAAAGTAGAAAAATGGTGGTGGCAGCCAGGGACAAAAGAGCAGGTTGAGAGGAAACATGATAGCCATGTATAAATATGTGAAATTATGTCATAAGGAAGAGGTAGCAGACTTATTTTCCACCTCCCTGGAAACTAGGACTCGGAACAAGGGTTCAAAATGCAGGAAAGGAGATTCAACCTGAGCATTAGTAAGAACTTCCTGCCTGTAAGAGCTGTTCATCACTGGAACTCTCTGCCTCAGATTGTGGTGGAAGCTCCTCCCTTGGAAGCTATTGGATGGCCATCTGAAAGGGTACTTTGATTGCGCTTTTCCTGCATGGCTTGGAGTTGGACTATTATTATTCTATGATTCTGTGACACTGGCACTTTTCCCTCTCTGTGGAGTGACCCTCGTCTTATCCACAGATGAGATCAAAATCCACAGTTTTGGTCCCACAACCTGCCTTCAACTTATATATGAGGTTGACTTATACACAGGAATGCAGTGATACCTTGACTTAAGAGTTTAATTTGTCCTGTGACTGAGTTTTTCCATTCAGGCCTCCATACTGCCTCTCTCCCATTTTTGTTATGTGTTTTTAAATAAGAAAATGTACTTTATAAATAACAAATAATGTATTTAAATTAAGACAAATAAAACATTAGACTATCTATTATGAAAAATAGTAAGGGAAAAAAGTTCAGAGATAGACAGTGCTTGGTTCCATCCAACCACTTTGGCAAGGAAACACATTTGAGGCAATAAAATGTGTGTTGGACAGTGTAACAAAAAGTCAAACCTTGCACATTCACATGCAACAATAAACCAAAAGAAGATCAACTTTAAAATAGTAGAAGGCCAAAATTGTGGCAAGGAAGTACATTTGAGACAATAAAATGTGTGCTGGCCAGTGTAACAACAAGGCAAAAAAAGCAAGGCAAAACCAAGCACAAGGTGAAGAGGCAGAAGCATCATTTTCTTCATACTGTACTCATTCCAGCCTCCCTCCTTGCTCTGTCTCCCTCTCTCTCTTCATTAAGCCAAACATACCAGGAATAAAAACAATGCAAAATTAACCAAGCCAAAGTTCCCAAAGCATGCAGCAATCTCCCAAAGCGGACAACAGGAAAGCAAGCAGCAATCTCCCAAAGCAGAGAAGAGCACAGAGAAGTAGCACTCAGGCAAGGGCATGCAGGGAGTGAGGCTGCTCTCTTGAAGCCCTGTACCCTCGTGCAAGCACTCCCTCCCTCTTGCACAAATGCTCCCTCTGGCTGCTTGTAGGTTAAAAAGGTGCTAATAAGCTAAAAGGAAACCCAGGCCCATTAGTAGGGATGCTCATAAGTAGAGGTTTGACAGTGTATGTAGTTTTAAAATAATAATAATATCTAATACTCCTGGAACATACAGCCCTGAAAACTCACAGCAACCCAGTCATTCCAGCCATGAAAGCCTTCAACAACACATACTAAATATAGAGCAGTTAGAAACTTTTAACAAACCTTTAACAAATAAGCTGGTTCCTATACCAATAATTTAAAGAGATATATAAACAGAAATGCATTGAGGGGAACACTGCAACACTGTCAATACCCTTGATTTTCCAATGCACAATTTATCTTGAAACCAAACTGAAGAGGAAAGCTCTCCAAAAAGAGATCACCTTCAAACACATAACCATTACCTAACGGCTTTTCAAACGAAAGACATCTGTCTATAAAGTGAGGCTCATGGACAAAATAAAGCAAGATATTGTAACTCCAACATCTTGCCTGCAGCTCAAAGGACATCTACAAAGAAGTCTGGACAGATGCCACTGTATCTCTCATTGTTATTGGGTGCTAAAAGTTTACTGCAAAGCTTCATTGTTGGCTCATAAAACTTAGCCACCCTCCAGAATGCCACTGCAAATCAAAAACATAATATCCATTTGGTATTAGGGAAATTATCATTTATTTGCATGCTTTCTCAATTCCTCCCTATCTCCCCTCATTTTATAGTGGTTGAAATTTGGTTTCCCTGCCTATTTTGAAGCAGTATAATGTTTCTGTCTATGTCCTTTTGGACTCTGCCCAGAACTTATTCTGATTTGATAAACAGCTGTCTTAATCAGCCACCAAGAGAAATTCAGCATGCTATGGCCATCTTTGTTTACAGTTCCAAAATGGTAGCAGCTGCGCAACACAGAAGTAAGAATTCTCCAGAGAGGAATGATTTTTGTTAGTTGTATTTATTTTCACTTGATTTCATTTGGAAGTAAAATAGTCTGTGCCTTGACTAAAAGATATTGGATATATTGTGCAGTTGTTTATAACATTGCAGTCTTTTACAAATCACATTTGTAATTTTAGGTGTGCATCCCATCTCCCAAAGACCCTGCTTAGGCTCCCTGCAACTATTACTTATGTAAAGAAAACAGGCACAATTATATCAAACATTGCATGGAGAATATATAGGACTGAAGTAGTATGGCCTTATTCCAAACTAAACAATAAATCAGTTGCACCCATTTGAATTGGATGGTGGAGTGTTTGAGCTGCCCATTATTTGAACTTGTGGATAGCGACCTCAAGTTCCTTGTTCAGATTTCATTCTGAGACCACACCAACACACCAAAATAAGAATGCACACATAATTCAGACATTCATTTCCACTACCAGTTACCAGGGGCGGCTCAACCCATTATGCAAAGTAAGCATTTGCAGTATAGTTGATTTTGCCCAGGGGCGCTCTTGAGACGCTCTTGGGGGAAAATAGACCTTGACATATGCGAGTTGTAGTTACTGGGATGTATAGTTCACCTATAATCAAAGAGCATTTTAAACTCGACCAATGATGGAACTGAACCAAATATGGCACACAGAACTCCCACGATGAACAGAAAATATATATCAGTGGTTGGTTGGGGGGGGGGGCA